CTGCGCCAAAGCTAACCTGACCCATTAAAGCTAATGTGACCAACGGCTCGGCGACACCAGTGTGTCACGCGCGCGCTGCAGCAAATGATGCACCAGCATGGGGCGACACAGCAACATGCAATGCAAAAGCGCCGCATCGCCGATGCATCAGCGATGCATCGGCGACGTCGGCTGTGCATCGGCGACGCCAGCGCGGGTCAAATCAGGCTCCACATCGCGCCGCATCGGCGGTTCGTTGGCGATGCGGCGCTGACCTCCGACACCATCTACGGCCGAACCTGGGACAGAAGAACGTCCTTCAAGAACACGAGAACCTTCGCTGGCCACACGGGAGGACATTCGAGGGTACCCTCCCCAAGGATGCGCAAGAACCTCCAACAAGCACGACGAACATGGAGGCTAGGCCGGGCATGTCCACGTACAGGCCGATTTGGAGCGAAAATAAAAAAATACCCCCCCCAAAAAAAAGACACTCCAGAATGGCCAACATAGTCAAAGCATCCTCCCCAGACCATTGTTCGACTATTCTCGAACCTTCCTCCTGTAGAGGGACAGGCCCGACTTTCACATGAGGGCACCCTCCCCGAACCGACCTCGATCTCGTGCCTCGGTCCGACCGTGCCTGGATCCCGCCCGGGAGGCCCTGTGTGTCTGGGCGCGTGGGGCGTCCTGCCCTCCTTCGGGCCCTGCACGCGGTCCTTGGCGGGGGGCCACCGGGCAGGGCCTCGCCCACGGGCCCGAGGCCAGCGGGCGCGCCCGCGCGGCGCCGCCGCCCGAAGCAGCCCGTGCCGAGCGCCTCTGCCCTCGCTGGCCAGGTGCTCGAGGCGGTGCGACGCTCGCCCAGGGCCGATGATCCGGGGGCGAGGCTTCGGAAGTGATCGGAGGTGCTGCACGAGGTCGCTAGGCCAGACAGGCGCGCTCCACGACTCGCAAAGCAGCGGCTCGCTGATGGCCAGGATCCGCCGCGAGGAGTCCACGGTCCATTACATCGAGGCACACACATGTGTTAATCGCACGTTTGCGAGTAGGCACGTTGCGAGTAGTGGAACGCGCTCGATGATAAGCCCAACGGCGCCTCGTCGAGGGCGTGCGGCGGGTGCGGGAGCTGTCCCTGGACGGCCTCCCGAGGCCGGAGTTCTTGAACGAAAGCCACGGGGCAATTCGGATAGAAGGAGAAACAGCTGCATACGTATAAACATACGGTCGGGAACTTTTGCTTAGCGAATCGTGGCGGCGGCCTCGGCGAATCGCTATGCCTTGCAAGCGGTTAGCGTGTCGCTCCGGTCCGCAGGGGGCGGGAGGTTCGGAATATCTCGGGGCATTGACCTTCGGGGACTGGGAAGTGGTTCGCGCGTCGTGCCGAAGCGTGGTGGGCCAGAAGCGGCGGCGCAGACACGCTACGCCAAAATCACGGCCCCCCCACACTGGGGGGACGAAGAGGCACCACCATCGCGCCTCCCCGGACCTCTCCAGGGGTGCGCTCTGACCTGGATTTCGAAGCCAATCCGACCGTGGCGACGCGGGCCCCCCAAGAAGGGCCCAATGCGGCGAAAACGAGGCCAGGGCAGCGGTGTCCGTTCCCTGTTCTCCTCTGGGACCTAGCTTCACGAATCTCCCCCCCGTCTCCCCCCCCCCGTCTCAAACGCCGACGTCGGGATTGTTGAAAGCAGCGTAGATCCCCTGGAGGTCTCTCGCAGCGGTA